TTTTTTTTTTTTTTTTTTTTTTTTTTTTTTTTTTTTTTTTTTTTTTTTTAGTTTATCTGTTAGTTTTGTTCCTTTATTCTTAGGCTACTGCCAAAATTGAAGCTTTTTTTCAGTATAGTAAGTTTGGTTGCCTCTTGTTGTTAGGCTATCTGCCATGTGTATTTTTCCATTTTTGCAGAAGGATTTTTTTGTTTCTCTTTTACATCTTAGTTTTAAAAGTTCTGGTAGATTACTTGAGTATTTTGTAGGTAAATGCAACTGTCACCCTATTTTCTTCCGGCTGCAATTGTAATTTCCTTCATGCCTTATCTGGCTTCTATCAGTTAAGTTGCTTAGGCTAGGTTTGATCTTTGCTTTCATACACTGTTTTCATTCTCAGCATATAAAGTTCCCTTAATGGTAAATGAGAATATGATTTAGATCACTTAAGCTCAATACTCCTAATTCGAATATGCACGATATCTCTTAAAGGGCATACCTGCAACCAGAGCGCCAACAGCCACACAAAATGTCCCAACTTGGAGAAGCAATTCTACTCTGCTAACCTCTAGTCGCCGCGAGCTAATTAGAAGTAGAAAAAACAAATAATTACGAGGCTGAAACATACTTGACAAACTTTGAGAGGGGAAAAACAGAAAAATGAAGAATTATTCCTTAAAGGTCTCTTCTGCTCCTACTTGGTACAGGAAGTGGGAATTTGATTAACCACAAAAAAAGACTAAATCTATTTCTTATAAATAAAATAACATACGGAAGTTATGTTAATTAAGCTATGGGATCTATATATTACTGTCAGGCTTTTGAGATGCATGTTCTGTCAAGCTTATGACTCCCATTCTTTCAACCTCGGTTTCTTTCAGGTATTATTCTAAAATGTGACAAGAAACACAAATCCCTCAAAACTAGAGCAGAAACATCAACAAAAGGAAAATATTATAAAACCTCAAACTCAAAGGAAATTAAACAATATGAACTTACAAGCAGAAGAAACCATTTAACAGGAAAATGTAAGAAGGAAGTTCAGACCTCAAATTGACGGCAATAGAATCTTCCATTTCTTTTGCTGAATCCAGAAGCCTTTCCGCCTGACCATGACAAGATTCGCATCTGCAGATGCAGACAGATAAAATTACGTCAACGCCTGACCATGACAAGATTCGCATCTGCATATGCAGACAGATAAAATTACGTCAATTAGTTTTAAGAGTTTCACAAGTTTGTACCAAACTACAACAATTAGTTTGAAGGGTTTCAAGTTCTTGCAAAAATGGAAGATTCTATTGCTTTAGTTCATAATGATTTAGTTCTTGCACTTTTAATTTTGTATCAATTTAGTCCTTGAACTTTAGTGCTAACTACGTACTAAACAAGACTTCTTATCTATGTAGATCGCTAAACTCATTAAAAATCAAGTGTTCAAGAGTATAACCAAATTAGTAAGTCAAATAAATCACAATGCCAATGCAGTGACATAGTAGTAGTTACTACAATTCATTTAGGATATCCAATTCAACATATAATTTTTCGAAGGAGAAGCTCTTCAGATTTAAACTGCCATGATCCACGGAGGCCCTTGGTCGCTTCAATTTGTTATGATTGATTACCAAGGACTATAGAAAGTGTATCAATGCATACGTTCCAAGGGCGTGCCTAGAGGAAGAAAGATGGATAGCCGTCTAGAGGTTGTTAAATCATGAATGGAAGTGTGGCGTAGGATATGCAGAGAAGTTTCATATATTGATTGATGCAAGAGCAACTCCAAAACATTTATCATAGGAACGAACATTACAATGTAGGTGGATGGAATAAAACAGATTAATCATATGTTGTGAGAGCATCTTAATACTACGAGAATGATAAATGGTCTAAAGTAAGGTCAAGAGCAAAACAACGAAAAGGTGGAGCACAGATAAGTGAGTCCACTGAATTGGTGTGTGATGGAGGAAGATATTGAGAATCGAATGTGAGAAAGTTGAACTTACCCGTTACTAATATTTGGAGGTACAGATCAAGACAGATAGACTTCTGAACTGAAGAGATGTTTTTCAGTCAACCATATGAATGCATGGGAAAAACTAAAGGTGATAGCCTTAAGTATGACCAAAGATGCAATGTCCTAATACCTTTGGCAGAAGGGTGGAGAACCATTCAAGATCTGGTACTTTATGCTTGGCAAAAAGCTCAAAAGATACATTGGAAATTCACAGACGACATAGAGAGAAAGATAACCGTTTCTTCCTTGGCTCAACATCGATTGTATGAAATATGACATATCTAATTGGACGTCCTCAAGGTGATTATCCCCACGATTCAAGGCATCACAAGAAAGGACGTCCTCAAGGTTTTTCTTGTAAATCATACAAGAGGGAAGTCATAGAGTATAAACTCACCTATAATTTTTCAAGTTTTTCTTTTTTTTTTTTTCTTTCAAAGATTACTACACGAGAACTGTTAGGTGAGTGGGATGCTTCCACGAGTTGGAGCTTTCCCAATTTATAGTAGAATCCACCAACTATATCTCCAGATTTCGAGGGAGCTTTGGTGACTACAACGTCATACTACCTAAATACAGGAAACTCACTCCCCTAAAATTTATCATCAAGCTTATGACTTTGCTAAGTCCAAGTTTATCCTATTCTATAAGGATATTTTAACTTGGAAGCTTGCTCTCTATTCCAAGTGCTTTCACTCGAGTTCCTCAATCCATTTCCTTGGCACTTTGACTAATATCCATCCAATAATCTGAGAGCTCATGAACGCCTACATATCGCCCTTGTGCATGCACCCGCCCAGGAAGACACACGCCCCAACTATCACAAGCATCCTACCCTCCTGTTGGTGCCTGCTTGTCATCCATGTTATGCCATCCTCGTGGTCATGGGGATTCTGACCACCCACAAGCGCCACCCCAAGGTATGTGCCTAACTCTCATACTGTCTTTTCACGGTCTTGGCCTTATGTTTGCTCTCTAGTGTGCTGGCCCACATACCATGCTACTGGCTCATGTAAACCTATCGAGCCCAGTCGCATGTCTTAATACTGGAGTCTTACAAACCTCCTCGGCTAGAAATCTTCGACATCCTCGTCGAATTTCTTCTCGACCAGTACTGTTGTATATGGTCTTCAAATTGCCATAACGCCACCTCTCTTCCCCAAGAAACTTCTTGGTCACCCTCACCTTTCCATTTTATAAGGTAATATGTCCATCAATTCTTTTTGCTCATCCTCATTGTTCAATGGTCCAAGATTTCTGCGACTTCTTGCTCAAATTGTTTCTGGATAATAACTGGGGCTCACTTGGTCTGTCTTCGGTTTCTGTCAATCAAATCTTGTGAAAAAGGCTGGCGGAAACTCATGTGAAATGTTAGGTGGACCTTCAATCATTCAAGTAATTTCAAAAGGTAAGCCACGTTGCCTACTCGTTTGACAACTTTGAAAGGACCATCGCATCTCAACACCAAACCTTTGCGCACATTCTTGCCTCAGCTTCTTCCACATCTAGGGAGTCATATTTAGCAAGACGAGTTCTCCCACTACAAACTCCAAGGGTTGTCTTCCCTCATCCACATACTTCTTCAATCTATGTGCAACTTTTTCCAAGCTGTTTCAAGCTAAGTCCATTTCTTGCTTGTCACAAGAGAAATTATGAGTAGTAAAGCACCTCCCCCCAGTGTGCTATTTCATACCACATAAGGACAAGGAGGTTGTTCCTTGGTTGTTAATTTTGGCGGAGTTAGACCAGTAATAGAGGACTTGTTATAATAGAATTGGCCCACATCAAGTAAGCTCCCCCAATTCCATTGACTTGTCATTGCATAGTGTTTATGGTGTACTCTTCCAACAATGTGTTGGTTCTTTTGACCTATGGTAATTTTTCAAGGAGAACTTCAGTTTTTCTTGAAAAAAAACTCCGCAGGTACATCTGGTAGGACATGCATGTGGCGCTACCATAAATACTGCGTACTTAGCAAACCTTTCAACCTATGAAGATAGAAGCCAATCCAACAATGAAGTCTGTGGACACCGATCTTCCACAATTTCTATGGAATATAAAGAGGTTTAAGCAAGCTAGCCTCTTTTCCTTCCACCTTGACTAGTTGGCACACTACACAAGTTTTTACATACGCATCCAGATCCTCATATGCATCTTGGGCTATAAATATGTCGTGATAGAAAGACTTGCATCCGTTATACTGTGACTAGTCCACTCAGGATCATGCATCTTACACATCAACTCCTTCCTCAGTCCCCCTGACTAGGAACCGAAAGTTGGCTCCCTTAGTACAGATCAGCTTATTCTCAAGTCAATAGCTAATTACAATGCCTTCCCGAATCTCTTCCAAGGTTTTGGCTGGTTGACATACCTTGTCAAGAAAACTTGTCAATGGAAGTTAATGCTGCAACATATGTACTTACTTCTTGGCAGCTTAGAGCTTCGAGTACCGTGTTCTGGCTTCTTGGTTTGTGCAACGACGTGAAGTCCAACTCCTTGAGGAGCTCTTGCAACCTTGTCTGTTTAGGGGTTATCTTCTTATAGGTTTTGAATGAGTGTTGGCTATATTGTTCATCACCACAACAAACTTCATGCCGAGCAAATAATGTCTCCAGGTATCAAGACAATGGACCACCATTTTTTTCAAGTGGCAGTAAAAAAGAAGGTTCCAAAGTTAGGCACATTCCACGTCCACGAGGATGGCATAGCAGGCAGGACAAGCAAGCCTCGGCGAGAGGGTCGGACACTATTAACAGCACGGGCATGGTCACAGGCAGCACGCACTCACCAAGGTGCACATATGCATACACAGGCAAGCGCACACACAACAGGGACTGCGAAGGTAGTGCTCACACATGGATGGTAAACCGTTCTCTTCTCAGATTTTTGGCAAAAAAAATTAGTCTAAATGCTAAGAAAATGGAGTGACGAACTTTAGTGAAAGAACTTGGAGTGGAGAGCAAGCTTCCAAGTCAAAGTATCCCTAAAGGATAGGAGGAAAACTTGGGTTGGACCTAAAATTACCAAAGTCAAGAACTTGATGCTAAAGTTAGGGAAGTGTTTTTACTATATTTAGGTAGCATGACCTGTAGTAACCAAAGCTCGCTTGATATGTAGAGATTAGTTGGTGGATTGTACTATAAATTGGGAGAGTTCTAACTTGTGGAACTATCCCACACACAATAAATAGTTCTCCTGTGTCTTTGAGAGAAAAAGGAAAACTGGGGAATTCTCCCTTTAACCAATTCTGTGGTTGTTCATTAGTGTGCTTGCATTCTTCTAAGGGATTTGAACAAGCGTAGACATATTGCCAACGCATATTACGGATAATAGGGAAAACTTTGTGCAAAATGGCAGGCCATTAACAGCACCACTTCCAAAGATTCCCAACATACGTGTGCAAGTTCTTTGTTCCTTCACATGTTACTATGATTTCTATAACAGGAAGCATATATATTATAACCATTTATAATATGTTTAACATTAAATTTTATATATATGCGCACGTGTGCATGTTTTATAAAAAATCATTAAATAAGTCATTAACATTTATTTATTATATTATAGACTGAAATGAAAATACATGTATGGAAAAATTTGTAGCCTGCTCCCCCGTAAGTGTGGGATGTGGCTATCTAATATCAAAATTACCTCTGGAGATAATTTTCCAACAGCATTTCTATTTCTTCTTCCTCGTCTGCAGATAGAAAGTTCAATAAAATATCACAAAAAGGGCTGCACAGTGAAATCGAGGCTGAAGGCAATAGTGAATGAAGCAGCTGAAAGTGTATAACTTGCCATCAGCAATCTCCTTATCCAAAGGAAGAGAGCACTCCACATCATCATTTCCTTTATTAATCGTGCAATTTCTTCCCATAATACAGATGCGTCGTATTTCTTGCGGGTCCTCCAGAAGATCAAGAAGCATTTGTCTGAGAGCCCCTGCCCTGGAACCTAATTCTACCTGGCAATCAAATTGGCGGTAGAGGGGATCATATTAAAATTACTCATTTTGTTGCATAACATAGCGAGGTATATTTTGAATTTAAGAAAAAATAAATAAAATAACCCTATCCAAAATAAGTTCCAAAAGCTGTACCAAAGTCTGCTTGCTGATGCGAAGTTGTTCCAACACATCTGCAGTTAATTTGTTGGGCAATACCTCAAGTAGAGCTTGAACCTGAAGCCAGACGAACTTTATAAATAAGTTTTCCTTTTTTCTTTCTTTTTCTTTGTAAATAAGGTTTCCTTTGTCACTACAGCTGTGGGAAGATCAGGCAAAATAAAGGGAAGAAACATTTTTCCTTTATGTTTATATTCCACGAATACATTATTAATTGAAGTTTGGTAATTTTATCATTATTTTATCATTTTATTATTGGAGGGCTTGAGATTGGGAATTGAATGACTTGTAACAAAGCCCGGTTGGTGAAGTGGATTTGGCATTTTCCCCTCGAGTTTAGTTCTTTATGGCTATTGTGGAAGGATACTTATTTTGAGCTCCCTTCTTTTTCTCATCTTGTCCATTGCTTTGTGGTTGAGGGGAAGGAAACATATTTCTAGGAGGATCAGTATGTGGGGGATAGACCTCTCTGCACTACGATTTCTAGTCTTACCACCTTTCCTCCTTGAAAAATCGTTTTGTAGCTGATATCTTAAATTGGTCTGGAAGCTCCCTCTCTTTTTTATTTAGGTTATGTCGTCCTTTGTCCGATAGCGAAATGACAGATGTTCTGCTTTTCCTGTCTTTGATAGGAGAAGTTTTTAGGAATAGGACAAGGGATGTGCATATTTGGAGTCCTAATTCATCGGGGGTTCTCTTACAGCTCCTTTTGTTGCTTATTAGATCATCTTCCCACTAGAGATTCTGTTTTTCCGGCCCTCTAAACGATCAAGATTCCAAAAATGTTAAGTTCTTTGTCTGGTACATTATCTATGGTCCTTTGAGTACTCTGGATCAGCTCTCAAGAAAGTGGTCTTCGTTGTTGGTATTTTGTTGTATCCCTTGTCAGAGGGGAGAAAACCTGGATCATTTACTTTGGCATGGTGACATTGGGAGTAATTTTCTAGAGGCATTTGGCTTTTGCACATCACAGAGACCTATTTGAGATGATCAAGGAGTTTCTTGAGGTTTGTCGGGGTGTATGTGTTATTTTGGGATCTTTGGAGGGAGAAGAACGATAGAGAATATAAAGATTTGGAAAGGAACCCGAAAAATGCGGGGCCCTAGCTATATTTCATGTTTCTCTTTGGTTTTAGGTTAGTTATTCTAGGTGTTATTAAATATTATTTCTTTAGAGGCGCTCCTTTCCTATGGGCTGATTTTTTTTTTTTTTTTTTTTTTTTTTTTTTTTTTTTTTTTTT